ACCCCGTCTGAAACGGTTGTCAAACACGCTTCTCCTGGACCGCCAGAGGATTTCGAAAGCGTGCGTCGTGGGGCAGCAGCAGGGAAACGTCGATGACCTGTGGAAGAACCGCTGAGGCAAGGAAGGCAGGCCGGTCGGCCCTTCCTTAGCGGGCTGGTTGCACGATGCCCCGCCAGGAGCAAAGGGCTGGGTAGGCTGACTTCAGCAAGGCCCCTCCCGCACGGACTCTGCAGCGGGGGGGGGGGCAAGCCGCCCTCTCCAGGCCCTGCCCCCCCTTCAGCTGCTGCTGAGCTCCCCACGAGGAAGAAGCACCGCCGGAAAGATCCGCCCCCTTGTCTCCCTCCCCTTGGGCTCCAACTGCCTCCTCCAAGGGAGAAAAGTAGGAGCTGCTTCCAGGGAGGCCTGACTGGAGCTGTGCAGAGTTATTTAGGTCTCCGCAGAAATTCCTCCAAGGTTCCACCAAAGTGATGGTTTCTTGGCTGGAGACAGAGGAAACCCACACCGACTCATGCAAAGACAGCAAGATATTATGGCTCCCTGAAGGCTCCATAAAGACTATCCAGCTGAAGATTATTCGTGGCTTAGAGTGGATCTCGCCAGCTGCTCGCAGCTAGACAATATGACAATATTGTCTAGGCACCATCAGCCGTTTGCAAGGGGAGAGCTAAAGGCAAGTAAAAAAGAATCATCTTTGTGAGCATTCATGAAGCAGCCATTAGGCGTGGCCTTTGCCCTGGAGGGGTTAATATAGGTAGCATGACAGGACACCTGTTCAGTCCATCAGAAGTAGATTCAAGATGAGCTTGAACTCTTGCTACAAGTAATCATAACTGATTTAGCCTGGTAAGAGGATTCCCACGGCTGGAATGCGACAGCCGAAGGCAACCATTTGTTCAAAGAGAATAGAAGCGAGAGGAAGGGGAGTTACATGGTACGTTAAAGGCATCCGTTCCTGTTCAGAAATCTGAGCGAATTAACCTGAGAATGCCATGGAGAGCTTCTGGGTTAAAATAAGTAGAGGAACCCATAAAAGCAGTGCTGGTGTCGGGTAACAACCAATCAAGACGTGGACGGTGCCTTCCAAAAATGTGCAAACTGCACATCTTTCAAAGAGGCACAACATTGCAATGATGGGAGACCTTCGCCTGACATCCGATGGGAGAGAAACGCCACCAAGCTTGGTCCTTCCAGGACTAGTCTTGCTGACACCTTTATTCTTTCAAAGGAGGAGGAAGGTCAAGAGGATCAGCCACCCTTGACTTGACAGTCATCGACGGGAGGGCTTCGCTGTGGAACTGGAAGCAGCAGGAACATCGGGGAAAGGGGGCTGTGTGATGTGGGAGTTCCTGGGAGCAAGGAAGCTAAAGCTGAGTGCAGCTGAAAAACAGACCATTGACCTGAGGAAGGAACCTTTCCATAAACGCAGAGACGCTTGAACCAGAATTCCGTGACCAGATAAGCTCTTGGGAAAAAGAGTCCAAGGTGACTAGGATGCGAGGTGCGGAGAGCAGAACTGCGAACAGTTAGAGGGGGGGAAACGGGCAAGACAGTAGAAGGCGGCAGTTGAGGTGCTCAGAAGACTTAGAGAAGTCCAGGAAATCTAAAAGGAAGCCTCCAGCAGAGGGGTTTAGGTAGGTGGCCTAGAACTGCAGGTAGTCCTCAGGTTATGATGCCAGTTGGGACCAGAATTTCTGGTGCTAAGCGATGTGGTCGTAAAGCACGATGTCACACGACTGCATCACTTAGCGATGGCAATCCTGGCAGTCCCGATTGCAGTTGTAACCCAGAAACAACATGGGTCATTAAGAGAGGACCTCGCGTGACCGGAGTCCTAGGCAAGCAGGCCAGTGGGCGAGAGCTGTGGGCAGGCCAGCGGGGACCACGGGCAGGGGCTACTGAGCACAGGTGGGCTGGCAGGGGCCGCAAGCACGCACTGCAAAGCGCGGGTGGGCTGACAGGGACTGCTGCGGAGCACAGGCCAGCCTGGGGTCTCATGCTCCATAGTGGGGCTCCTTGGGAGAAAAAGGAGCTGGAGCGACTTGCAACCTTCCCTGCCAGCTTCCCATTGATTTTGTTTATGGGAAGTCCGCAGGGAACCCCTTCATGGATCACTGCCTTGTCGTGGCGAAGGGGCTTGCGTAACTCAGTGAAGCCAAGAGCCATAC